TGGAGGGTGGTTCACGGCCCAGGCATGGGTTCACGGCCGTGAACCTAGTTTGCGGCTGTCAACTCCCTTTGAAGGCGTTCCACGCTCGATTGCAAACTACAGATTCCAAGATAATGCTTCCCAAAATTCAACCCTTGAGTGTATTAGGCTTAAAGACTCTCAAACTGACCCTGAATACAATAAAGCGATAACAGATTCGAGTCTGACTTTTATTGGATGAATTTGATTTACAGATAAAGATTTCGGGTTGTCACACATTAACTTTGCTAGAAACTCAAGAGAAGAAAAGGTGCAACCAGGATACAATTTAATTTCCACTTCTTCTAACAACTGTGAAAAATCATCATCCACACCGCTACCCCTTGTATTCGAGGTTCCTTCGTCGAGGTTGGTATCATTTTCTCTCGACTCCCACATCACATTGTTGATTAATACGTTCATTTCGTTACTTGGCAAGACGACGAGAGGAATTAAAGAATCACCATGATAGATCCAAGTTGTGTACGACTTACTGAAACCATTTATAAATATATGACATTCCACTGCTGTCGGATACTTGAAGTAACAGTTATCACATTTTTGACACGCACATGTGATTTTACCATTACTATCACAGTGTGACTTGGAATTCTCGATAAAAGCTTTGAGTCCTGCTTGGAACTCGGGATAGTTTCGATGTGGATTACTAGTCCAACTTTTATCAATAGACATGATGTTGTTGAAACATAATTTCGGGATTAGAGTTTAGTCTACGAAATTAACATTGTTTTTTTTTTTTACAATCCACATTGTTTTTTTAAAAAAAAAAATTAACATCCTACTTTATTTGTAACATTGTACTTTTATAGCATCTTACTATTGTACATTTTTATATATATTTTTTATTTTGTAAAATTTATTTTTGGTTTATTTTTCAAATATAGCATTGTACTTTTATAGCATCTTACATGCATTTTATTTCTTCGAGTTGTATAATAATTAATGATAACTTAATTTATTAAGTCACTTGATTATTTTTTATTCTTTTAGTAATTTATTTCAATTACATTTAGTTTCTTTTTTACCGTCTAGATTAAAAAAAATATATATTAAATACATATACCATAAAAGTAGCGTTATTACTTATACAATTTGGTATATTCGAAATCACATTTACCTCTTCGGATTCAATATAAATACACATACCTTAAATGGTTGTTGTTAATCATTTCATTATTAAAAAACATTTTAAAAATCATTGAAGTTAGTTAAAATTCGTTTAATCAATTTGGTCGATTTTTTTTTGTTAACTGCCACGTCATTTATTCGACATTTAATGGCAACAAGGTTAGGTCTTTAGCGACGACTTGCGTCGCTGATATTATTTTTATGCGTTCAAAGAGTACCCCAACCATTGGATTAGAAATACGATCCAACAGATGTAGTTTGACAGACCGTGAGAAGGCGGATCGATGTCATTGACCATTACCGGCAACACAAATAGCGGCGACACTTACCTTTAGCGGCGACATATCAATATGTCGCCACTAAAGATAAGTGTCGCCGGTAATGACCGTATTCCTTGTAGTGAAACACAATATCCTCTTCATACATGGTTTGTAAAGCTTGAGATTTGGTTTTAACGTCATTGTCACGTCCACTATTGAACCACTATTGAAGAAAATGTTTTTAACCGAATACACACAAAACAAAGAACGTTATTCATCGAACATATTTCTTAACCTACTCAACGAATATTAAATATATTTATTGCTGTTGGTCTTTTTTTAATAGCGTCACTTGCCTGTATTTAATAGTTGCTCCTTTGAAATAAAATAAAATAAAGTATAAAGAAATATTAATATTATTCAATTGACTTATTTTGTAATATACAAATGATAGGAGATTGTGATGTGAACAACCATTAATGCTTAAATATTACTATTATATATTCAATGACTTATTTTACGTCTATAATTTAGTAGAAATTACACTTCAAATATACTATAACTAGTATTTTTAGATGTAGTCTATGAATTTCAAAATCAAACCCATATTTTTTTAGACCTTTATAATCTACTTCTTCATTTATCTCTTCAAAACAAAAACACCTTAGTTTTCTACGGATAATAACTAGAGCATTTTCGATTAATCAAAAACCAACTTTTCTAAAAAGGACAATCATGATTTAAAAGCAATAAGATTTATAGTAGTATACCTACAAAGCTGCTGCTAAAATAAGAACAATTTACTGGACCTGGCATACATTATACATGTATATATTTGTTGAACTGGTGATTTAATAAACAGAGAGGAAAAAGAAAATAAAAATACATGGAAGTAAAAACGTGAACAACAATACGGAACAAACAATGAAAATCTAATAGCCAATTCATTGCAACTAGGAAGTTATGCAGCCTTTATACCATAGATGGTCTGAACCACGGTAAGAACAAATAGAATGGTTCCAGCAAATAGAGCAATGATATTCCATGGACTACTGAAATATTTACGCCTCAACACAGCAATAATATTTGGCCAGTAACCATTGTAATAGGAATCCATATGTTCCCATTGCTGAGAATAAAAGAAATCAACGATAGGAACTTCTTTGCATATGCTGTTTATCATATCTGCAGCCTTCTCATTCGAGCCTAAATCATTGACGAGGACTTCTGAGTTTACCAACATGGCAACATCCTCTGGGGTATCAATAAGCATATCCATGGCACAGGCATATGCTGTAACATAATTAGGAACATCTGACGAATGCTCATATATAATCAGGTTCCTCAAAACCAATTCAGTGAAATCATCGATACACACTACTGGCATCTTGAGAGCTGGCTTAAACCAAAACAACGGGAACCACGAAAATCTAGGTAACTTCAGTTTCATCGCCATTGGCCAATTTGTATCTTCGTGAGGCCTAAAGTTCACCCCTGCTCTATCCAGTTCCACAGCGGAGTGGCCTTTTGGAATTGATTCAAATTCTGATGGTATATCATTTCTAGGCTGGTAACACTTGTGCACAAGGCTTAGAAGATGATCATGAGTATGTTCTTCGTCTTCATTGTCTAGTACTAATTCGGCTTCAAAAATGTTGTAGTAAATTAGAAGTACTTGAATATGTTTAGTAAGAGAGGTCGGTGGTTTAAGTTTCATAATAGTACACTGAAAGATGTCTTCAAGAACAAAGAAAGGGATTTGGTTTTCTATCAAAAGCAGATCATAAATTACTGATTGGGTAATCAACATGTTTTTCAGAAGTGGTCTATCTTTTTTTGAAAGATGATAAATAAAATTGAGTATGAAACAGCTATCTAATACCATCATGCGAGCAAGGTCAACATCTTCGTAGGTAGGCATCCCCACATAACATGACCTGATTCGGTCTAATGAACCACTCACCTTCTTAACACATGTTTTTAACGTTTTCTCTGGCTTGGAATCTAAACGATCCAAAAGATCGTGTAAAAATGTTTCTTTCTGAACTTCAAATCCTTTCAAATTTTGGTCTTCATGGTGAAGAGGTCCAATAGAGACAACCCGAGGGCAAAAAGAACTTGGGCTAAGATCTCGGAACAAACTGGGAACCATATAAATTGATGGAAGAAGTTGATTCTGATCATTCTTTTTGCAATCAAGTAGAAGTTGCACAGTTTGCCCAATTATATCTGCTGATCTAATCTTCACAACAACACGTTCCATTCAGCTTAATTTTCCTGCTTAATCAAACAGTAAAATTTAAAAAAGCAGTATAAAATCTATAGAACTCCTAAAAATAATATAGTTACCTTCTTTAATGTGAACACAACTTCAATGGTTTAGTTTTGAGAGCGTTGTACAGTTGTACTCTATGGCGCACACAGACAGCCACAAACACACACACAAAGCCCAACATACATACAAGCAAACACACACACAAATACATAT